AATATTAATTGGATATGCTCAGTGTAAACCCAACAGTGTAGAATAGAAGCTGGAGTTCAGTGCAGACACTCTGTAGCCCTGTGTGGAGCGGGTACTGGAGCATATGGAAAAGGCCACTGAGCACTTCCCAGTGATAACTAGTGGGACTTTGAACTAGCGAATTTCCATTTGAGGGGCAGGTACTAGCTTGCTATTGGACATTAACTGAAACTACCCTATGATTGAAAGACATACAATAATCTTGAACCTGAAACCCATGTTGTCTTGGATAACGTTGGAGAAACACTCTGATGGAGAAGACAGTGCCCAGAAGAGTTCCACCAAAAAGTGAAAACAGTTTATACAGGATCATGCTACCAGGGGAACACAGGGAGGATACACACATGAGCAGCAAGCCTCTTTTGCCCTAGGACTGACTTTAGAACTGCATGAGGAGCTGCTGGATTCTATTGTCACTTGGACAGCTCTCAACTGACCTACAAGGAGCTGCTTGGTTTATGGATGGCAGTTCCCAGGTGAACACACAACATCCTGTTTGGAAGGCCGCCTCTCTGATCAAGGAAGGTAAAAACAGATCAGTTCGGTGAACTGAATTGCATGCAGTTTTCCTAGTGGTGATGGAAGAACTGAACAATGATAATAGCCATTATAGTTTGATTTTTACAAACTCATGGACAATGGGCAACAGCCAGGCCATATTCTCAGGCAAAGGGCAATGGAAACCTGGTCTATTAAAGGAATGCCCATATGTGGCACAGTCCTATGGAAATCACTATGGGAATCTGACGGTGTAAAGTAGGACAAGCTGATCACCATCACAGGAACCCTCTTCTAGGTTTGGAAGGAGATTGGAATTGACAACTGGATATCCTGGTGTCCTTGTTGATGTGGCTGCCTGGATCCATGAAATAAGTGGACACTGGGGGGCTGCAGCAATGCAGAGATGGGCTGAATCTAGACATATCCCTCTTGCATCCTCTGAGGCACAAAATACCAAAAAAAATCTGTTCTGTCTGCCAACAAACAGACAGAGACTGCAAAGGGCTGTGAGGCAGATTCCCTGGAAGGAAGGCCTTGAACATAGTTGGCAAATCAGACTCATGCTGGTGGCCCAGGGGGACTACAAATGGGTCTTGACAGGAGTAGATATTGACTCTGGATTGGGCTTTGCTTACCCAGTGGTAGATGCAAATGCTCAGAGTGTTACAAAGAACCAGAACAGAAGATATTGCACCAATTTGGACTGCTGAGTCACATCTTTTCAGAACAAAGAACATACTTTATAGCCCATAACGTGCAACAATGGACAGAGAGATATCTTCCTCAGAGTAATAGTTTGATAGAGACTTGGAATGGGCGACTGAAACACTGGTTGTCCAAAACAGGGTGGAGGGGTGAGGATAGAGAGGCACAAAGGGCTGGCTTACACATCTTCACAAGTGTGTGCTCACACTCAACATGAGGGCTAAAGGTATGTCCCCACTAGAGAGTTTCCTCTCTTTCTCCTGGAGGATCTAGGGAGGAGGGGTAGGGCAGGACGCTGGTATGACTCTACAATTCTTCTAATATGGGGAGGAAGTTGGCACAACTACATTCACCTCGACATTCTTTCTTCCAATCTGACGCAGTGGTCTCAGGTCAGGGATGCAACTACAAGTGCCAGAAACAGGAATGATTCCTAAGCAAGAAATCGGAACTATATTTTTAAACCTTTATGTCAGAATTCCTAAGGGCCTGTAGGGGCGGGCTGTGCCTTCACCCCATCTGGTAAATACGGGCTGATAGTGAATGCACCTATACCGCCTAGTGGTCAGTTAGCCCACTAGTTCCGCACCTATGTGACCCTCCCCTCTATGAATGGGAGTGGACTAAGGGGAGGGACTGCTAGACTAATCTTGCTGCCTGTGGTCTAGACCAGCACAGCAGCCAAACCTAATATCCCTTCCAAAAGTGGAAAAGTTTGGTATAAATAGAGAGAAGAAAAAATAGTAGCTGAAGGTAAAGGAATGAATAAATGGGACATGTAATGAGAGAAACCCAATGTTACATTAAAACCTCAAAAGAGGTCTCAGCCAGAGATGATATTGTCTCTTAGCTCAATTATCCAGATGCCTAAAAGGGTGAAGCCATATATTGCTGAGACCACTCCTGCTTCTGGAACCTGACAAGGTCAAATAGAAGCCTGCAGACCCAAGTGGTTTTGTCCTGGGAAACATATTCATACAATAGAATGACGGGCTGGACTAATCTTAATGACTGAATGGGAACCAGTAATGTGCCAGCATCTTCTAACTGTTATGGTCCTTTTGCTATAAGGGATCTGTGGTCAAAGACCAGGGGGTAGCCTGTGGTATAATCAAAAATATTTAGTCTTTGTCCCTAGTTCCTGGCATAGAGCTCCTGAAACCCTTGGAATCCCCTGAGTGGTAAGAAGTACTTTGGTACGCTAATAAAATGGCTGAGGATGGGGGCTGGTCATCAGAAAGACCCCAGTGATGAGGGCTGAGCACCCGCATTGCTGTGGGGCTTCTTACAAAATACTCAGGCCTCTCCCAGACCCACCATCTCAGAGTATTAGGCACAAGACCGCTTTTTAACAGGCCCTACAGGTGAGACTGATGCCCAGCCATGAGGGAATCCAGGTCTACATTCTTGCTACTAAATGTGTGATCTGAAGACCAGCAGCATCAGCACCAACCTTGTTCTACACATAGACTTTCATGCTCTAGTCAAGAATCTTAATGAGATGTCCAGGGGATTCCTGTGCAAGGGAAAGTTTGGGACTCCCTGGTCACCATGCCTTCTAAACACAGAGCCAGAACTATGCAGTCTGCCACGGGCGTGTAGTTTGATCACATACCTTAGCACTGGGGGGTCCAGGGTTCGGTCCTTGTTCCTTTCTCTCCTATAGCCATCACTCCCTTGGTGACTTCATCTGTTCTCAAGGCTTTAAATATCATCTATATGGTATCACCTCCCAAATCTATTTCTCCAGCCCAGACATTTCTCCTAACCTCCAGATGCATCTGTCCAACTGCCGGTCTCCTATCTCACTTGCATTTCTAATAGCCATCTCAGATTCAACATCTCTTAAACTAAATGCCTGTAAATGTGCTCCTTCCAGAGTCTTCATCTCTGCTGACAGCAACTCCATCTTTCTACTCCCACAGTCCAAAGTTCTGGGTGTCCTCTTTGACTCCTCTTTCTCATTCCCCAGATTAATCCATTAGGAAATGCTGCAAAGTCCATCTTCGGAACGTGTCCAGAATCCAGTCACCTCCCAGTATTTCCACCGCTCACACCAGTGGAAGCCATGGACACCTCCAGCCTGGAACACTGCACTAGTCGCTCTGCTTCCGTATTGCCTCCCTCGCCCTTTGCTTGCCAATTCTGCTCTCAGCACGGCAGCCACAGTGATCCTTTTAAAGGAGACGTCATATCATGTCCCTCTCCTGCTCTGTCTTGTCTCACTCAGAGGAAAGGCCAAAGCCCTTCACATCCTCCAGGCCTACACAGTCTGGCCACACCTCTATCTCATCTTGATTGCTCTCTACTCCAGCTATACTGGACCCCTCGCTCTTCCCAGGACACACTCCTGCCCTAGTGCATTTGCACTGGAGGTTCCCCTGCCTGGAAAGAACTTCCCCCAGACATCCCCGTGGATATTTCCTCATGTCCTTCACATCTTTCCTCAAAGGTCACCTTCCCAGTGAGGCGCACAGGACCACCCAAATTAGAAGAGCCATCTTCCCTGTCTCCACCCCCACCCTCTGGATCACCTTCCCCACTCCATTTTTTCCATAGCACTTACCACCTCCTAACATAAACATTTTCTTTATTTACTATGCTTGTAGTATATAATCTGTTCTTTCCACTAGAACATATGTTCCACAAGACCAGGAATTCTGTTTTTACTTCAATGATGTTTCCCAGATGCAAAAATAGTATGTTATACATCCGGCCCACAACCAATATCAGTTGAACAAATGTTCAGTGTAGAGTACCTCTCTTTTCTAGATACAGTATCTTTAATAATGTAACCTCAGACCACAGCTGTTTTGGGGCAGTTACAGCACAATGTCCACTCATCCTGACATCAATGCCACCTGTACTTTTCTCCCCTCCTCTCCCCTCCTCCTCTCTCCATCTCTCCTTCCCACACCAACCCTCCTGCACACCACAGCACACAATTACATTTGTCTCAAACAACGATCCTTAACTTATGAGTCCTATTTTCCAACCAAACATAAATCTAAAGTAGATGCTGCTTTATACACCATGAGTTCAGATTGGAGCCAGCACTCAGATGACTAGAGCTAAGGGCCAGGATAGAGGGCAGGCTGCAGAGCAGAAGAATTCCAACAGGAACTCATCTAGGATGAGAAACCATGGGATCCCTCCTCTCTGCTAATTCCAGAATCTGGCTCCTTTGAAAAGGTGGGAAAAGGTGGAAATGACAATCAAGCCCTAGAAGGAGGGCAGAGCTGGACGAGTCTGAAAATTCATCTCTGGACACCACAGGTGCCTGTGTGCAGGGCCTCCTGGCCTTGTGGGGACAATGACATGCCAAATGTCTCCTGTGCTGTCAGAGATGGGAGAAACTCAGAGGAGAATGAGACCAGAACTCATACACGAGAACAAGAACAGGCACAATCCTCTACAGAAACAAAGAAAGAACAAATATCCAAAAGAGGAGCTAAGAGCCAGACCCAGGCCTGAGCCTAGGCTGTCCCACCCACATGAAGCCCCCACTGCCCACGGACCTGGAGACATAAGGCCCAAGTGATGTCCGAGTCCTTGTGAACACAGGTCCTGGTGGGACAAGGTTCTACTGAAGGGACAAGGACAAAGAAGGAGAGAGATGATCTAGCCTAGGAGTGACCATGTCAAAGCCCACGATGCACTGAGCACTGACTAGACACAGGCCCCATCCACAGTCAGCTCCTCACAGCCTTCTCCTCTCTCCACCTGCAACAGACTGAGCACAGCAAACATGCAGATTCTGGAAGGTTCTCAGTGCTTCCATTTATTTCCCCTCTCAAATTTTAGGAATCTTCTCCTTTAATTAATCCACCAATCCCTCACAGCAAGAATTTGAAAAAACAAGTTCATATCTAGATTCTTACTTTCAATAAGGAAGTAAAAAGTTATAGCTCAGTGCAACACGAAAGTAAGACAGGGATGGAGATGGCCCAGCCACGTCTCTGCTAGAACAGGAAAGTCGATCAGGAAAGAGAACACAGGTCAGTGTGGGGAGGGGGTCACAAGGGAGATCGGTCTCTCCACTTCCTCTCATTATGCTAATAGGAACGTAGACACACTCAGATGCCCTTTGCAGAAACAGAAGTCAGAGATTCCTGAAGTCACAATCGGGGTGGGATGAACAAATTTTGCATCACTCAGTTCCCCACAAGGCAGCCATCTCACGCTATAGAAGAAAATAATTATGAACAAATTTAAGTCACTCGCTGTAATTAGTGACATTCTGAACAGCCCACTGCATGCTTTAAATGTCCTGATCAATCAAAGAATCCCCAAAACCTAGCCCTGTCCCCTCTGCCCCAACCCCTCCCCAATTCAGGCCTCCAGGGTCTCACCTGCTGTGAGAGACACATCAGAGCCCTGGGCACTGTCACTGCCTGGGGTGGAACAAAACAGGATATGGTCAGAGCCCACAGGAGATGGGACTACAGGAGGAACTATGGGGTGGGTGAGCTCCACCCATGGGCTCCTGTCTACACTATCACAAGAGTCTCAGGGACCACACTCACTCCATACTTACTTGCAGCCTGAGTGTAGCTCCCTCCTTTGCCACCTGTGGGAAGAAAACACCCTGTGAGAAGCCAGGGAGAAAGCAAGGGCCATGAGGTCCTAAAGGAACCCCCTAGTCCTGGACCCCAGAGAAGTTTCAAGAACTGTGATTACAGACCCAGGGCAGGATCAGGAAACATGAGGAAAGTACATGTGAGGGGACTGGAGGAACCACCCTCGTGACCTGTGACCTGTGACTTCCCCTTCCTCAGAAGGGGTCACTTTCCTCTCTGTCCTGTAACTGCTGGGAATCAGGTCCCCATTGCCAGACTCATCAGGGTGATAAATTTGTCCTTCATTCTCATATGTGCTTTACTAAAGAGTAAGTGTTAGCAAACAGGGTCCCAGGAAAGCACATGTGCCTGTGGATGGGACTTCCCACTAACCAGGGAGGGCAAACTTCTCCCTGGGCTTCAAACTCCCCAGTGGGACAAGAAAACTCAGACCACAATCCTTCCCTACCTGAGCGCTTCTTCCTCCAGATCACAACTCCAGCCACCACAGCTCCAGTGACCACAAAGAGAACCAGGCCAGAAACGATGCCCACAAAGGGGATGGTGGACTCAAGAGGCGGCTCTGGGGAGTGAAGGGAAGATGAAGGCCTTGACCCCTGGCCTCAGCCCTGACCCTGCTGAAAGTCTGCAGAAAGCCTCCCGATTTCCCCGTGAAGAGACTCTGAGCCCATGTCTCCCTCCTTACCCCATCTCAGGGTGAGGGGCTCAGGCAGCCCCTCATGCTGCACATGGCACATGTATCTCTGTTCCTCTCCAGAAGGCACCACCACAGCTGCCCACTTCTGGAAGGTCCCGTCCCCCACAGGCCTGGTCTCCACAAGCTCCATGTCCTGGGTCAGGTCCTCCCGGTCCTGCTGCCAGGTCAGGGTGATCTCCGCAGGGTAGAAGCCCAGGGCCCAGCACCTCAGGGTGACCTCATGGTCAGAGATGGGGTGGTGGGTCACATAAGTCTTTGGGGGGTCTGAGGAGAAGGGTCAGAAAATTCAGGAACTTGGCATCCATTTGGGCACTGAGGCAGCGCTCATGTGACCATCCTAAGAATGGACAGGACAACTGGGGTGGCAGAAGGGAGCATAACACCCAGATAACAGCTTGGACACAGAGACTGGAAATAATCTCCACTCCTTGGAAATTTCTGGAATCAGGGTGAGACGGTCCAGAGTAGGAGGCAGGTCTCTCAGTGGGAGTAAAGGGATTTCTGTCCTGACCTGGATGGAGGCGAAATGACTCAGAAAACCTGATCAGACCTCAAACACATAGGGCGTGGAGCCGATGAACAAGGCCTGAGAGGCCAAGTCCCCGAGCTGCTGCCAGAGTGAAAGGGAACAGCTTGTTGGTTATTTCAAGGTTGGCTTCCCCCTCCATCCCTGGAGGGACTCGACACCTTAATGTCCCTGAGAGAAAGGCGGGTACTCTGGGGGAGTCATTCTCTGGTACCAGATCTGAAATCCCTGGCGGACTCAGTCTCACCCCTCACCCAAGGGCTGGGGATATTCAGATGTTGATCCCATTTTCCTCCCTTCTCTGTGGGATGCCAGCCCCAGCCCGAGAAGAGATCAGGAAACTCCGCGGAGCCTCGTACCTGTGCGCTGCAGCGTCTCCTTCCCGTTCTCCAGGTATCTGTGGAGCCACTCCACGCACGTGCCCTCCAGGAGGTTCCTGTAGCGCTCCGCTGCACCGGCCGCCTCCAACTTGCGCCGGGTGATCTGAGCCACCGTGTGTGCCGCGGTCCAGGAGCGCAGGTCCTCGTTCAGGGCGAGGTAATCCGCGCCGTTGTAGGCGGACTGCCCGTAACCGCGCAGGACGCGCCCGTCTGGCCCCACGTCGCAGCCAAGCACCACCTGGATGGTGTGAGACCCTGACCCCGCCCCGCGGTCAGCCCCGCCCTCGCCCCGCAGTGAATAAACCTCAACTAAAATAGACACCGCGGAAAGGTCCCTGCCATCTCTTCCCGGCTCCAGAAGCCGCGCGGGTCCCGCAGCCTCGCGGGTGAATCCCGGACCCGGAGACTCGGGGAGACCCCGGCCCGTCCGTGGGAGTGGGGGGTCGTGAGGTGGACCCGGGCCCGCGTCGCTCACCGGCCTCGCTCTGGTTGTAATAGTCGCGCAGGGTGTTAAGTTCCACTCCGAAAATCCGTGCGTGCTCCTTGTAGATCCGCGTCTCTTCTTCCCAATACTGCGGCCCCTCCTGCTCCACCCACGGCGCCCGCGGCTCCGTCCTCGGACTCGCGGCGTCGCTGTCGAACCGCACGAACTGCGTGTCGTCCACGTAGCCGACGGCGATGTGCAGGGGCTCGCGGCGGCCGGGCCGGGACAAGGCGGTGTAGAAATACCTCAGGGAGTGGGAGCCTGGGGGCGGGGAGGGGCTGAGACCCGGCCCGACCCTCCTCCCGGCGCGAGTTCCTGGTCCAAGGTTGACGGGGCCCAGGGGGGACGGGTCGTGAGACGGAAAAGGGGCGGCGGACGGACAAGTGCGGGGACTTGGGGTGGGAGGAGGAGGGGGCGGGAGGAGGGAGGGGTCGGGGCGGGGCCGAGGAGGGGGAGGGGGTCTGGGCAGGTGGCCGCGGAGACGCGCCTTCCCCCAGGGTCCTGCGCCTCCGCCCCCCGCAGAGGCCGTTTTCCCTCCCGATCCCGCGCTCACCCGCCCAGGTCTCGGTCAGGGCCAGGGCCCCCGAGAGCAGCAAGAGGAGGGTTCGGGGCGCCGTGACCCGCATCCTCGGGATCTGGGGAGAATCTGAGTCCTGGCGGGTCTGGAATGCGGAAGCCGGAAGTGCGGCGACGCTGATTGGCGTCTCTAGAAACCGGACACGCAAAGGGTGAGAACTGGGGCTGCGTCCTGAATCTCCAGGCTGGAGGACCTGACAGGTGGAGAGAGGGAGAAGTGAAACTTAGGGAGGTGGAGACTCCCCAACACCGAACTTCCCCGCATGAGACCCTGAGAGCCATGTCCGGGGACCTGGAACTCTGTCCTGACTCTTCTCCCCCTGCACCCAGAGCTCTTTGTCACACTGTCTCCCTGAGTCCTGGCCCAGGGGCTGTCTGAGGAAACCAGGGAAGGAACCCCCCTGGCTGGGATCAGCCCCTTTTTCTCCTCTCACTGGAGTCACTCTCCCAGAAATGGACTCCCTACCTGCCACCCCTTAGCTCTTCCCTCTGGACTCTTCTAAAAGAAAACTCACCCCCAGGGAACTTGATACCAGAGAGTGAGCTCGCCCTGGGAGTGGAAGTGGAGGGACAGGGATTTTCTCTTTAAACCTGGAGTGTAACAGCTAAACGTTAAGTTAGCATGAGGGAAGCCATCTTAGGGAAAGGAAGCAATATTGTAACTGTGATCCCGACTCGCTAGTCTCTGAGAATGCACTCTAGCCTGCACGTAGCGTAGATGATTAGGCACCTCTCAGTTTTGCAAAATACATGGTCTGCTAGTTCCATGATTCGTGCTTACCTATATCTCCCAGCTGTGATAAGGATAACTCTGAGTTCCGCGAGAACATGATGACCTCCAGAAAGAAAAACTCTGTGTTGGTACCCATCACAAATGACAGAAGAAAGAGATAATGAGGCGCCTTGAAGTTCCTCACACCAGAAGATCAACATCCCTAAACCCCCTCCTTCACTGCCCATTTCCCCTATACAACTGCCTAAAGATTCTGTATGATTTTAAGAGGGTTTTGTAAGACACTAGTCCACCGTCTTCTGATTATGCTAGCTAATTGTATAAATTTTCCTTTCTCTACCACTGCCTTGTTTGCAATTGATTGGCGCTGGATTGCGGCAAGCAGAACGAGCCCCTTTTCACTCCGTTGCAGGAGGAATTGTGCCTGAAAACACCAGATAGAGGTTCTCATAGAAACCAGGTTCCTTTTTGTTCATTAACTACACTGGGTAACAATCTCGAAAACCCTGAACATCAGGGATCTAATCTGTAAAAGAAGTGATTTGGGGCGGAGTCAAGATGGCGGCATAGGCAGACTCTGAACTCACCTCCTCCCGTGGACACAGCCAATTTACAACTACT